GTCACTTGCTTCTCTCTCTTTCTTCTCCAAAATTTTTCTCAGTGAGCTCTGCAGGGGCAGAAGCATGAGACATCCTGCATTGGGAATGAGTGATTGCCCCTTTTTATTTCCAGTTATTTTGAAATTTGAACATTAGCTGACTCTAAGTTATAAGGGCTAAAGGCATGGTTTCTTTGTATCATTTCTCTTCTCTTTATTCTGTATTGTTTTGGGAGGAGATATTTGGAGATGGGAACTATGTTTCAGGGTTGTCTTTAGTTATCCATAAATCCTACTGATTCTGGTTTATTTTCTAAATGCGGATATGAACATGTTGTCAAACACAAATGTATCTGTGTGAAAACTCTAAAAAAGACAAAGCCATGTGCTTGAGTAATTATTAGGATTAGATGAGGTCATGAGGATGGGCCCCTCTTGATGGGATTAGTACCTTTATGAGGAGAGACACAAGAAAGCTCCCATGCTCTCTGTGTACACTCAGAAAGAAGTAGTCATGTGAGCACACCGGAAGATGTCAGATGCCTACAAGCCAAGAGAAGAGGCCTCAGAATGAAACCTACTTTGCTAGAACCTTGATCTTGGGCTTTCCAGCCTCTAGAACTATAGGATCTATTCATAACATTTGGGGGTATATTTCTTTTTAAAACATTTTTTTGTGTGTTTAACAAATGGCACTTTAATGTATATTTGTCATAATTTACTACCCAGTCTTCTATTAAGAGATGTTTTTACCTATCTATTTATTACTAGGGGCCCGGTGCACGAAATTTGTGCACTGGGTGTGTGTGTGTGGGGGGTGTCCCTCAGCCCATCCTGCCCCCTCTCACATACTGGGAGCCCTCAGGCATTGACCCCCATCACCCTCCAATTGCAGTATCGGCCCCTTGCCCAGGGTGCCCCCAAATGAGGGCAGGGGACCCTCATTTCCCCCCATCACTGGTTCGGCCCCCAGCCCAGGCCTGATGCCTCTGGCCCAGGCGTCAGGCCTGGGCAGGGGACCCCCATACCCTTCCGATTGCTGGCTCTGCCCCTTGCCCAGGCCTGATGCCTTGGCCAGAGGCGTAGACCCCCATCACCCTCCGATCGCCTGATCGGCCCCCTCACCAGGCCTC